GCAAACGTTTGGAAAGATTCGATACGGTGACGCGGCCTAAATTCCTTTCGAAAATCGCGAACTCGTCAAGGAGCGCGAACAGAAATGCAATTTGTCACGGCATTGTGGATCACAGCGAGCGTGTTCGCGTACAACGCGTGAAAAATCGAGTAACTGGGGCAAGAAACGTTGAACACGCGCCGGTTTGTCATTCGCATTAATGTTCTTTCCGCATCAATGTTCTCGAGAAGTTGACTATTCAATCGATCGGTCACCGTCTTAAAACAATTTTTCGATTGATTAATTAATAATCATTTCGGTTGATTAATAATAATTTCTTCCGCGTTTTGATTTCAGAAAATATTTTTTATATCTCTGAAAACATTTATAGAATATGTATAGAATTTTTAAGTAAAATTCTCGATTTATATTACTATATATAAATAGTTTAATTTATATAAAAATAGTTGTGTTAACATATTGTTTTATATTGTTATAATATATGAAACAAATTTGTATTTTATTAAACACGAATTGCGAATAACGAGGTGTAATGATACGTTATTAAATAACACTTGAGAAAAACAGTAAAGTAAGAAATTCAAGGGCAACGATTGGCAATTTATGTTGTAAGAAAATTAGTTACCATTGTAATTACACCGATTTACGATTATTGTTGCACAGTTTATTCGAACAATAAGAAAATACATACACATCATAACCAATTATGATGTATCGACATTCGTGTTTATATAACTGATATTACCTATATCGATTTAAAAAATTATTCAAGCATAAAATAATCCAAGGTGCCATTAAAATATTTATTCATCACGTTTGATAATTTCATGAATAACATCATCTGTTAAATTATACATATATAAAAATAAATTTAATTCGAATTTTATTCGATTATAGAAATTATTTATTATAAAAAGTTTATTTGCGTTTTATTACAATGTATAATTATTCGGTAGTGGATTTTAAGGTTTAGTACTAGCATTAACTAATTTCCAATTTTAAGCTTCGAGCGAATTATACGGCTTGAATTATACAGGCTTTCGGGCTCAGCTCGCTGTCTATTAGAAATTTTATCCCAACGTTTACAACCAACATTGTAACTAGGCTTTATTAGAGATGTCACTCAGGTGTATCATTATCTATGCGTCATTTGATCTTTGATGCAACAAACGATATCAATTAAGATAAAATTCCAAAACGAATACTGCTTACAACCGGAACATTTCAAACAGTGTCCCATACGATAAATTTTCGATAACCGAATTGAATCATTCGATTATTTATGACTCAGATGATATATCAGACGATGAAGAATCAACATACGCGACAACTATTGTCGGTTTATCGATCTTTGCAAATTGAAAGCCGACAATACGCTATTTACTTTCTTGGGAAGATTAAAATGATATTGGATTCAACGATCGTGTTAAGTTTCAAGAAATAAAGAATCGTTTAAAAAATTAAAAGTTATCGATTTATCCTACTTCGAAAGGAAAATTTCTCGCGAATTAAACGTTACGATTATCCCAATTCGATAGAAACTATATAGAATCCCAGGGGTAACAAGTCGATCACGAGTTGTACGAGTAGGAAGTTTTCATTTGCTACGTATACAGTCTCCAGAGATCGAGGTTATCGTTGATATCGAATGATTCTTTCAATTAGTATCTGCTAACTATTAAATATGAAATACATGCAAATCATCAATATTCTGATAAGATCCCAATAAGATTTGTTAGTATTTAGAGAGATTAATTAACACGTAATATAATCTCGATATTATAAAATTTTCTTTTTGAACAATAATTTCTAATTTATTTAGAAATATTAATCTGCTAACTTTTATGAACGTGTGTAATACTGAAATTTTTTTAAATAATTTATACACAGCTTTCTTAAATTTTATCATTCGTTCGAATCTAAAATGTAACACCTTGTTTATTCCAAAGAATCTCCATTGAAATCAACTGATGCGGCTAATTACCTCTCTCTCCTAATCCAGAACTCGTGGATCAAACGAGTAACGAATCAACTTGAGTAAATATCAATTAAAAACTCTCGAGCTCGGTTGGTATCCAGTGACTGGCACACATATACATATAAATATAAATATGTATCATTACATCTTACAAATCGCGAAAATAAATCCTTCTATTTTTCAAACACGTTCAATTCAATTAATTAATTAACATATAATGTAACTATTAATTATTAAAATATTACCTCTATTCCGTATTTCTATCTGCGTGTCTTTTCAATATATATTACTTAGAATTAATTTTTAACGAGTTATAAATACATTTTCTCAATTGTATCTCTCATAAAAATGTATTCGTGAAATCAATGCCACCGTTGAATTCGTTTCAATTCCCACATCCGTACGTGGAACAAAAACCGTGAGTCGATTAATTGTAACGCTATTGTCGAGTCTCGTTTCCAAACCGACATACTTGTAAACTCGCCGATTTCACCGTGTTATGTTGTAAAAATTCATACGATTCTTTCTATATATGTTATCGTGATACTTATAAGTCTTATTGTTCATTAAATCATCTCGAAAATGGAAAAATTACTTCTTATAGCTATGACAATTTTATAACGATTTTTTTTTTATCTATTATCTTATTTAAAGAAAGTGAAAAAGTGGAATAATTACGAATTTACGTAACGTTGTT